TACTTCAAACAGCCACTACACGCCCCTCCTTCCGACCTTCTTTGGAGAGAGCAGAAGTGATAGCCCCACCCCCGTCAGGCCACCCAGGCCCTGCAGCCGCCCCCCGTCAAGACCACAGACCAGGCGGCTTGCTCTTCCTCCAAGCCCCAGACTCCAGGTGGCAGCCGGAGAACAGGGGTGTGAGAAGACCCCAATCCTCCCTGCGCCTGCTCAAATGTGGTGTTGTTATGTGTTGCTCTCAGATGTAATTAAAACTGGGAGTACCAAAAGGGGGTGTTCAGCACAGTCCACCCCCCTCTGGGAGATAGGCGGTGGTGCCAGTGCACCCCCCCATTCAACAACCCAGAACCCACAATGTCTAAATGCGAGAGGGGATGGGGGGAGCCAACCTTGGTGAGGCCCGTAAAATAAGCCCCCCAGTGCCCTTGACCCCCACCCCCCAGAAAATGCCCTACATAGATGTGTGTTGTGAAAATGTTTAGATGGAAGTGTCTAAAATGCAAAATAAAATTGGGGTGGGGGACGTCATCAGAAGGTGGGGCCCTCCAGTAACAACCCCCTCTCCAAAAACCTACATGTGTGGCAGTGTGATGGAGCAGGCAGAGGGAGGATTTCGAGGATGGGGAGCAAAGGACTGGGGTGCTTACTGCACTCCCAGGGAGCCAGCTCCCCCACTGACACACAAGCGACAAAAGACATCCAGGCCTAGATCATTCCCACACCCCCTCCCTCCCCTTCCCCCACTAGCAGAGTACAAACCCCTGAAGGGGTATGCATCTGCCAGAGGTGTTAATGTCCATGCCCCCCCAGCCCAACAGGCCCTGAGGCACCCCAGCAGACCAGAGGCCGCGGCAGGGCCAGACAGCCGGGCGTACACCAGCCCAGACCCCAAGCAGCACTCCCCACAGAACACGGGGCCCCCTCCAGAGGGCAACGTGCCCCAGGGTTCCCAGAAACCTGGACCCACCCCGGACCCACCCAGCAGCAGCACAGCTACCAGGCCAGTAGCCCACTTCCGCCACCACACAACCCCCCAAGAGCACCACATGCGGCTGCCGAAGGACCCCCGGAGGTGTCCCAGGCCCGCCCCGATGGGGGCAATAGACCCCAGGGCGAGGCCCGCCAGGCACCCCAATCCGGGCACCCCCCCGAGCCCTCCAGGACCCAACAATCCCCGAACCATCCCCTGCACCCCGTAGGACGCGCCCCACAGCCCCCCACTACACTAAGTGATGGAGCCGATCAAAGGAGCCCAGAGAGATCGGTCTGATGGGGATGCAGATGCTGTCTCAAGATTATTATGATCCAACAACAGATCTCTGTACTGATTGATGCTGAGTTTATCCTTACTTTTCCAATTCATGAGGATAGTTTTCTTTGCATAACGCAGTGAAAGCCATGCAAACTGATTTTTTTTCCATAGAGCTTCCCTCAAAGTCACCCAGCAAGCAAACTGAAGGAGAAAGTGAGATTTTACAACCCGGGCACAGTGATAGGTCCTTACAGACCTGTACCCAGAACCTCTGAACCAGCTTGCATAACCATAACGCGTGAATATAATTATCAAGATGATTGCCTGTGCACTGTGGACAGATGTGGACATCTTGAAAAATCTTTGAATTGTATAGTGCACTCTGTGGAGGATTTTGTAATGTATTTATTGTAAATTGGGGTTTCTAGTCATGTTAAAAGTTCTAAGACTTATCTGAGCCCAGATGTTTTGTTGAAAGCTGACTGATAAATCCTCCTCCCATTTAGTAATAGGAAGAGATATTGTATCATCCAGTTTAGTCAGTGTCCTGTATAATTTAGACAGTAGTTCAGGATGGTTTAAATCTAGAAACTCTGATATATTAGTTGGAATTTGTAAACCTCCATCAATATGCTTAAATTTATTTCTAATTATAGCTTTAATTTGCTCATATATTAAGAATTTATTTTTGTTAATGCCATATTGAAAATTTAATCTAGCAAATGTGATAAACTCTGTACCTTTAAATAAATGACCCAGATATGTAATACCTTTATTCTTCCAGTATGGAAAGTTTATCATATTACTTTTTAGTAGAATGTCAGGGTTATTCCTGGGTGTATGACTGCACAGGATAAGTGATGACTTCGTTATTTTAAGAAATTCCCACCATGCTGTCAGGGATGAGCTGATGTTAATATTTTTAAAACATGAGTGCCGCTTGATATTAGACCTAATAAACGGCAAATCTGAAGTTATGATATTACTGCATATTTCCTGTTCTGTGTCTATCCTGGGCTCATCTAAGGTTTTATCCATTTTGAGATGTACTGTAATCTTTTTGCTAAACAGTAGTTTGGGATGTAAGGTAAATCTAGTCCCCTTCTGTCTTTAGTTTTCTGTAGTGTCTTTAGGCTGATACAAGGGGGTTTGTCCTTCCAAAGCAATTTAGAGATGGAAGAATATAGAGATTTAAAGCAGTCAGATGATGGTTTATTTGGGATCATTAAATAGGTAGTTAATTCTGGGTAAGACCGTCATTTTAATTGAGGCTTCTCTACCTATAAGGGAGATTGAAAGCGATTTCCATCTCTCTAGGTCCTCTTCTATTTTATTTATTTTAAAGAGGGGTGTGGTTGAGTTTTGGTAACTCAGCCAATTTAGATGACACAGTACTTCCCAAATATTTGATAATTCCTGATTGCAATTGTAGACCTGTGGGATTCTGTGGAGAGCAATTAATTGGTAGTACTATAGATTTAGACCAATTTATAGAGTATTCTGAGACTCTTAAGAAAGATTCTAGTAATCTAATCACTTGAGAGAGGCAAGTGTTTGAGTGCTGGGGATAAAGTAATACATCATCTGCATAAAGACTAATTTTATGCTCTATTTTCATGCCTTTTATACCTTTAACCACATTAGTTTGTCTGATTGTAGCAGTTAGAGGCTCAAAGAAAATAGCAAAAAGTGAGGGGGAGAGCGGGCATCCCTGCCTGGTGCCCCTCTGGAGACAAAAGCTGGAAGATGTTTGATTATTTGTCCTGACACAGGCTGTTGGGAAGCTGTATAATATTTTTTACCAATTTATAAAGGAATTGCCAAAGCCAAATTAATGTAGAGTAGCACATAAAAATTTCCAGTTTACGCTATCAAATGCTTTTTCTGCATCTAAAGCCAATATATAGGATTTAAGATTTTTACTGCAGGAAAAATGTATTAAATTAAGCAGTCTGTGTGTGTTAGCAGCTGACTGCCTTCCATTAATGAAACCAGTTTAATCTAGGTGGATTATGAGAGGAGTGACTTTATCTAATCGTTTTGCTAAAGCTTTACAGATTATCTTAATATCCACATTAATTAAGGATATGGGACAATAGCTGGTCGGAAACATAGGATCTTTGCCTGGCTTAAGCAGGAGACTAATGGTGGCAGAATTCATATTAACTGGAAATTTGCCATTATCTTGAGTTTCCTGTAGCATTCTATGGAACGTTGGGGCCAGAATGTCCCAGAACTCTTTATAGAACTCAGTGGGGAACCCGTCTGGACCTGGCGCTTTATTATTTGGCATGCTTTTTAATGCTTCCTGAACTTCAGCTGTAGACACGTCGTCATTGCCGTGGGGCGCCTCCCCCATCCCAACCCCGCTCCCGCAGGAGTCCCTCTCAGCGCTGCAGTCAGAGGATGTTTACCCTCAGCGTCCAGACTGCAAATGAAGCGCGCATGCGCTGAGATTGAAGGCGCAAATTGATCACAATAATTAAAATAGCCTGCGCTTTGTAAAGCGAAAAAAGTCGTAACATGCAACTTTTCTAAAAACAAATTAACATGGCGCGGGAGCACCACTGTTATGATGCAGCACCTGAAAAGAAAACACGCTGGAGCCTTCGATGGCAGTGAAGAGAGCTGATCAGCAGGGTGAGCGACCATGTTTGTTTTGTTTTAAAGTGGGGAAACGTAACGTTAGTTTCTCAGGACAATAAACAAAGAAAAAAACGACTATATTTGCATTTACAGACTCAATTGTTAATATATTACAGGATCCGGAGGGTATTAACAATGCCTTCCTAGATTTCTATAAATCTTTATATACATATATTTCTATAAATATTTATACACAATGTGGGCATTGTCGAGCCCACAGACCATAGCAGTATGCTCCAACCATTAGCTGGACTTCCGAGAGATGGATCTTTAGAAAAGGTTAAGAGGCAGTCTATACCACAACTGAAACAAATCTCAAAGAATTAGAGTGAGAGAAAGCATGTTTATGGTTCAGTAAATGGGGAGTGGAGCTCAAAGAGGGGGCAATCATCGGAAAAAACAATAATAATAATGTAAAAAAAAAATTTGTCGAGTAGTAGATAGTAGATAGGTAAACCTATCTTTTGAGGATCTTTTGGGCAACATCCAAACAGAAAACAGATGATGAAAAAGATAAAAGTACATGATAAAGCAAGTTTGCAAACATTGACAGAGGCAAGGTTTCAAAGATTAACAATCATCAGCAACAAGACCACAACCCTTTTTGGCTTGAGCCAGGTAATTAACGGCCAAGCATTAAGATCACAAAAAATAGACATGACTGTAGATCCAAATCTGCCTCCAGGATTTGACCAAGCAGCAGATGCAGAGAAAGCACGTTCCTACATAATCAAAATGAATATGCAGCTTTGCTTTCTGGCAAATACAGGCTCAGTGACAGGCCTGGTGTCACATTACTAGAAGGTTGGCAGTTTGTCAGAAGACTCCAGGAATTTGTCCTGCTCATTATTTGAACCTGGTACAGAATCAGGCAGGTTATATTATGTTTCAGTAAAAAAGTAGGCATTTTGTTTGTAGAACAGCAGCCTAGCCAGAAGCTATGCTGACCTGTAAAACACTTTAACTGAGAGTTGCAACTATGTGTTGTTTTTTTTTCACTGTTCACAAAAGGGAAATGAGTGCCTGGGTATCTTTAAAACAAAAATTGATGGAATGGATTCATGGTGATGACTCTATTAAGTCTATTGAACAGTAATCAGATTTGTACCAAAAGAATGGATGAGTTTGAATGACCATAAGAAATGCTTTTAAAGACAGTCTGCGAATAGCAAAATAAGGCATGTTGGCACAGTATGTCTTGATACAGTTAAGCTTTTGCTGGGCTTGTTGTGCCTTATGTTGTATATTCATCTTCCAATGCTGCAATGTCTACATCAAGATACCTTAAACGTTTAAATTCTGCAAAAATTGAGTTGGTTGAATCAGCTTTTTTTGGATAAAGTACATTGGTCTGATTCTGGATTTCGCCCACCTGTTTTTGTGCCACTATCCCTTCGTCTAGCTTGCAGCTCAAGTTCTGGATGGGTTTGAAGATGAAGAGATCGGATTCGGCCTGGTGGATGAGAAGAAGGCATCTGCTGTTGCCAAGAAGCTAGGTATGAATTTTAGGAAGACTGCTTATAAAAATCTTAAACATGAGGTATGTAAATTGTCTTGAAAATGTCTTGTAAAGTAATGCTGCCACTATACAGTACTTGGTGGTGGAAATTATGTGTTGAGGATCTTATTTTTAAAACCATAAAAAATCCTCTTACATACCAGAAGACCTTCTTTTACATCTTTCTAGTGTCTCTTGCATGATTTGTGGCGAAATGCAGAGAGGACCTCTTATATCATTTTTTTTAAATATTGTAACTCATCCATCAAAAGCTAATAGTACTAAAAAATATGTTTTCCTACCTTTGCGATGGATATCTGCAGATTTCCCAAAGTTGTAGGGGACCTTGGCTGCTCTTCTTTCGTATTTGCTTTTCTCTGACAAATTTCAAGGCCACCTAAAGAACAGTTGGTTTAGTTTAATGTTACTTAAAGTGACATTAAATTGCAGATGGATCGACTGTATTTACTAATCAGGTGATTTTTATGGTATTTAGTATAACTAAATATGATTAAAGGGTACAAATGTAAAGGGTTGTTGGATAACATTTGCCTACCACACCTTAAACATTTATTACTTTCCTTCAACATTACTTTCCTTTCTATGAAAAACTGGCTATAAAATGGAGAGAAATGTGCGGTGGTAACGTGCCAAAATGTGAAACACATCAAAGGGTATATATACTTTTGACAGATGGGTTATATTGTTCATCCTATTGCTCCATAAAATAAAGAAAAAAATATTACAAACAATGTAATTAAGATGTAATTAAGTCCCAGATGTTGATCCTTCTTATCTTTTAGAGTTCCTATAAAAGGAGAAATGGACACCCAGAAGGCTCATGGACCAACAGTGACATCATGTGCTTTTAAATATAAAGCACGGTCTGACAGCTATGGCTTTAAACCACAATTTCCTTCAACACTGAAAAAATATAAAAACGCAAAAAATCCCAAAAGGATATTTTGCTTCCCCTAAAAGTTTTCTTTTTAATTTTTTGAAACAAACATTTAGCAGCACCAGATCAAACCTTCCTAGTCCTGTTGGTAGAAACATCCAACTAAAACATGAAAACAATGTCTCTTACTGTAATTCCTCTTATTTCCTGCTTTAAAGATTAACCCACTTCTGTTTGTTAGTTCATATCACTACATTAAAGAATGTTAAAGAAATAATTTCTTTTCTAGTAAATGACTCACAACACATAACACAGATATCAAAAGAGAAGAAGATGGGGAGCAAAGAACTAAACATGGAGAAGCAGCATTTAGTTTCTATGCTCCACTTATCTGGAACAAACTTCCATAAAACTGTAAAAGTGCGGAAAGCCTGATTTCCTTTAAATCAAGACTAAAAACACATTTGTTTAGGATTGCCTTCGACTATTCTAGTTAAACAGTTCAACAAAAACATGTTTTCTTTAATCCAACTGTTTTTAATATTCTTTTTTTGTTTCTGCATTTTTTATTTTATTTTATTTATTTTTTATTTTTTCCTACTTGCTTTGATTCTGTTTTATCTTCTTGTATTTTAATCATGTATAGCACTTTGCATTGTCTTTGTACTGAATTGTGCTATACAAATAAATTTGCCTTGCCTTGCTCTTGCCAAAGGACTGGGGTGAAGAAGAGAGAGAATTTTCGTCCCTTGAGACGAAAATCTTTAAAAATTTGTTAAAGCATCATCTTTGGGTCAGTTGGTGTGCCCGTGGAACAGGGACTGGTAAGCCTCCCTCAGTCTGCAGGGCCCTCTTTCAGAATAAGGGATGGGTCAGTACTTGAAATAAGTTCAGGAATCCCAGGGAATCCCCAGGATTTTCAGTTTCAGAAAACTGTACAGCTGTTATCTTGAGTGCTCCATCAAACAACTCTGGTCAGTAGCAGAATTTCTAGAAGTTACCCATTGGCTGTTGCACATTTGAGCTTAGTCCTGACACTAGCAAAGCATCATAAATGGTGTTTTCTTTGAGAAACTTCTTCATGCTTGCTGAAGGCAAACTGTCCAGATCATTTTATTAAACCGATACAAGATCAGATTGATCATCATATCAGCTATGTCAGCTTTCTCCATTGGTTGACCGGCAAGTTTCCCTACCTTCATTGTGGGGCATAGTGGTTTGAATGCAGACTGACACTGAAGCCATTGAAAAGTTATGTTCTGCATAATTATTGAATAGATTAGGTTTTGTTCAATTATATTTTATAATTAATCTTTGCTGACAGAAAAAGTCTAAAAACATTTTAACCTGAACAGACTCACATGGAGAAAAGAAGACCACTGCATTGAATGTAGTTCTGCTTAATAATGTAGATCTAGGTTAGATGTTAATATATTCCCGGAGTCAAGATTATGTGCAGAAAAATAAATGGGCTGAGGAGGGATGGAGTTCATGAGGGTTCAACGATGCGGGGATGTGAAGGAGTGGCATTGTCTATATGCCCTTCAAACATTTGCGGCCTTTAGGCTTATAGGCTGCCTGGATTCAGCACAGCAGTAAAGAGTTCCTTTTCTGCCCTGGATAATATTCTTACTGGCGACCTCACAGTTACAGAACTAATAGGAGCCAGGGACAAGCGGTAGGAAATACAATTTGAGCTGTTCGGAAAGAGCTCTAATCAGCTCTAAACCTGATCCCAATCAGGCCAAGCTCTGTGCATAAGTTGCAGTGGTAACCAAATTAAAACTCTGAGAATCGGCTTTATGAAACCCAGATGACAACGAAATAAGCCAGACTTGGCTACCTAAGATATGCTTGCAAACTAAGACAGTTTTAAGAAATACTCCAGTGGTGTCAAGAGAGATCTTATAGAAGTCTTCAGTCAGCTTTTAAGATCTGAGGCAGATTGATCAACTTCTCTTACTCAACCTAATTGACAAAGCAGACCAGCACCATTAAAACACAGAATCAGGTCCTGCCAAAGAAAAGTAAACGGTTGGTTATATGCATTTTGCCTGTCACACTTTAAAGACGTATTAACATCCTGCAACAAAGATAGATCTAGATTTGTTTTTCTATTAAAGATTGAAGATATACAATAAAGACATGAGCAGGATGTTCAAAATGTGAAAAACATCAAAGGATATGAATAGTTTTGACAGTTCATACAGCACATACTCTTGCTTAATTAAATACAAATATAAACACTTAAAACCAAATTTAACAGAATATTGGCAAGTTTTTATTTTTTACAATTCTGTAAAAGGTGATATGCAGGTAACCCCAAATGTTTTATGAACAAGCAGCGACCTCAAGTGTTTAAAAAGTATAAGACACTGTCAGTCAGCTAATGTGACCCATATTTACAAAAAAAATAAAATAAATTAAATAGAGTGAGCAAGGAGTAGAAAAGTCCAAACACTGTTTTTGTTCCTCAGCAAAAAAGCTAATTCATATATTTGGTTTTGGGCTGGGGTGCATTTAAAGAAATGTAATGTTGTATAATGTTTTTTGTTGCAATGATAGTTTTAGGGTTTTAAAGTAGGGCTGCAACTAACGATCATTTTGCAAATCACTTAATATGTTGATTATTTTGTTGATACATTGATTTATAATCGGATATAATCCTTAAAGATTCTTTATGAAATTAAACCAGGTGAAACTACAACATTTCCACTTAAAGAGTGCCGGAAATTGACAGACACAATTATTCTTTTAACATAAATGAAAAATGTTAACATATTTTTGCAATTTTGATATAATTAATTACTGCTCCAAATGGGCTGCTCTGTCAGCTAAAGGTGTATTTTACAGTCTCTATACTCCAGTTAATGATTATTTGATTACTAAATTAGTTAACGAATATTTTAATAATCAATTAATCATGACTAATCCGATTAATTGTTTCAGCCATAGTTTAAAGCATGCCAAACAAAACGGCAGTTCTGGAAAACTCAAGCTAAAATAAAAGTTGCATTTGAAACTGTCCAACAACCATGTTTGATGGTTGGTGGAAAAAAAATTAGCTGTTTGTTTACAATGTCAGCAACAATGTTTAGAGGGTATTGATTATTGTGTGACGAAGTGACTGGTTTCTCTACAAATAGCTAACAGAAAAAAATCCTTAATTCCAGAATAAACTAAAACACACATAACTTCTCTTAAATTCTCTTTTTACAAAATCTCTAGGAAAACTTAGGAATCCCCTTACTGCAGTTAAAAACATTATCAAGGATATGTGGTGCTCTGGGGGTTGCCTTTTTTAAAAAAAAGAATCTCTAATCATAGCATTATGAACTCTTCAAAATTCCAGGAGATTTTAAAGTCATGATATCATGTCCCTATGTGAAACCTAGGGAAGGGTTATATTTTGATCTTTCCATGGCAAAAACTATAGAAAAATGTTGAATTAGCAGAGCAATAAAGTTTCTAAGAAATAAAAGCAAAGTACAGCCATAGAAAATAAATATTTCCCTGCCCTAAATCAGCAGTTCAGTGAGTTGAGCAAAAGAGAAGAGGACACTGAGAGCTATGAGGAAGGGCTAGATCACATTAAGAACTTTATTTGCTGTGTAAACAAAAAATTGTGTAGTCTTGTATATGAATCTTTAATATGTAATTTTTTTTGCAGATAAAACTTCCTTTTCTCACCAGGTCTAGATGAAGTTGAAAGCATCTATATCTTTGCGGACAATGAGATAATAGAGTACGATGGAGAGCTGGCTGCAGACACCATCGTTGAGTTCCTATATGATGTAAGTAATGTTGGTGGAGAGCCACCCAGAACTGTGGCTAATCACATATTTGCAAAAGATGGACCAATAATAATTAGAAACTGCAAGAGATGCTTCTGATTTTTTGTCTCCTGTTAGGTGATTGAAGACCCTGTTGAGATCATTGACAACGACCGAGAGCTGAAGGGTTTCTATAACATGGATGATGTCATCAAACTGGTTGGCTACTTTAAAAGTGAAAGATCTCCCCGTAAGTTCAATACTTCATCAATTAGAAATGATCTGAAATTTTTTTTTTTTTTCTGCACTGATACTAGATTTTTCCAACCAAAGTACTTGTACAATATTGAGATTCTAGCATTCACCAACACGTTGTACTGATTGGAATATTAAATAAATTAAAAGCTAAGTTATAACAAAGAGTTCTTATCATATTTCCTGATATGTTCAGTAGACGAAGATTGATTTTTACCTTGGATCCAGCACAGATTGGATGCTTTTTTTTTTTGCTTGTGTTAATAACTTTGCTGAATAGTACGAACTTGCGGTTCTCTTGATCGACAAACCAGTCTGGATGTTAAGCTAAACAGGGGAATTGCTCTGCAGGGGCTGCTTCTTTTGGCACCTGTTCATGCAAAAAAATACCTCCACACAACTGACATTTCCCCTCAACAGTCTGGATACTTAAAGTTCTGAAGTTTTCCTGATGTCATGTAATGTTTCTGCCTCTCAACTCCTGAGCCCGCCTGTTTCAAACTGAGCTTGTCTGCCTGACCTTTCTGCTGAACTAATGGAACCCTGAACCTGCCCAAAACGCTCTGTGGATTCCTGGAACCTCTCTGTTTCTGTTTCGGATCAGAACCTCTGGCCGGGTTGTGGACTCCTTGATCTCGGAATCATCTTGTTTAGACCTGTTTGCCTGACCTGGCTCAGACTCCTGCCTCTTCACGCGGGCTGCTGCATATGGAAACTTTGGACGGCTACCGCCGACTCTCCCATTTGTGGTGCATAGGCTTGTTCCTGTCTCAATCTGAGAGGACTGACTGAACTGTTAAAGTGATGACTGGTCATTGAGTGAAGCTGACTTAGACAACTTTTATTGTCATTTTTTAACACAGAGTATATACAGCTTTCATGACATTTCCATTTCTTAAAGTGCAGCAGTGATCAAATGTAAACAGTTTTGAAGAAAAATTATGGTGGAAAGAAACCACATTGATATGGAAGTTCGGAGCATAAAATATATAATGGTGCATTATGCAGGATTTTGTTTTGGAGTTGTCAGTATGATGCAGAGTCTGTGACATGATATGAGGTTTTCTCAACAGTTCATATGTGAGCTGGTGCCGCCATCGCTGCTACTGATACTTAAAATGCTACTGCAACTACCATTGTTACCATTGCTTTTGTGTCTTCCCGGGGCTTGCCCTCATTTTAGGATATTATTACCACCCCTTACTGGCTAAAATATCAGTGTGCAAATTAATACTGGTTGTAAGATGGAAAATAATTCTAGAATCAGGTCCATTTATTTCAAAGCTGATTTACTAATACAAGTGTTTACACGCCTGTTGAATTAAGCCCAGTATGGATATCTGTGCATCCCTATTTATAACTTAAATTGTAATAACTTGTATTTCCTCTCTTTGTTTCAGATTTTATAGAGTACGACGATGCAGCTGAAGAGTTTCACCCTTTTGTTAAATTCTTCGCAACATTTGACCCCAAGGTTTACATTTAAAATGCCTCATTTGTGCACTGAATGATGTGTTTTTGTATCATGGTCAAAGGTATTTTAGACAATTCAAAATTGAAAAACGTTTAAGAAAAGATAATGTAATACAATACATTCACAATGAGGTATTCTATCTAATTTACAAATTGTACAAAAAGGAAGAATAGTTAGCCAATTGGGAATTTTTATGTCAGGGTGGTTTGCCAGGACTTTTTAAATAAATACCAGCCAGGGAAACTGTATTAGACAGTTCAAAGTCAGCTGTATTGCCAAACCCCAGATTACTTGCAGCTAACGCTAACATGGGACATGGAATAGAAATGAGAGCAGCCTGCAGTAGAACCAAGCATTAGCAAAAACTAGGCATAGGTTTCACCGATAAATCAGAGTTATAAGAAATACTCTCAAGGTTTTTGGTGCTGATAAGGTTGTTTTAAATAAATATAGTTAAAATATACTAAATATAGAATTTACTTAATGTCTAGGCAATGACATTATTTTACATCAGTAAGATGATTGTCGTGATGCCAAAAAGAGAGCCCGACAGATTTTTGCAGACTGAATTTATTTTTCTTTTCCAGATTGCCAAAAAGCTAAAACTAAAGGTCAATGAAGTGGATTTCTATGAACCATTCATGGAGGATCCTGTCACCATTCCAGGAAAGCCTTACATTGAGTCTGAGCTTGTTGAATACATCGAACAGCATGACAGGTGGGGTTCTGAGGGATCACATTATTGCACAATTCAAGTCATGTAAAATTAACTATACCAATAATGCAATTGCATTAAGGTGTTAGATATTAACCTATTTAAGAAATGATTACAGGAAAAGGTGAGGTCCTCAATTTTTTGTTTTTTTTGTTTTAGACCCACTTTGAGGAAGCTTCTACCTCACAGCATGTATGAGATCTGGGTAGGATTGATAAAACACCTCAATATGTTTGTTACTTACAGCTAACATGCTTTACCTATCTTGTGACTATGAAACATGGTCTTTTGTCAACCTTTTTGTGATCACAGGAAGATGATATTAATGGAGAGCACATTGTGGCTTTTGCTGAGGAGGATGATCCAGGTTGGTTTTTAGGTTTAGGTGTTTTTAAAAATAATTTATTTACACCTATAAGTATAACATGAAGAGATCTGATAAATCCATGTCAACTTCTTTTAGATGGTTTTGAATTTCTTGAAATCCTGAAGGAAGTAGCCCGCGACAACACTGATGACCCCAACCTCAGCATTATTTGGATTGACCCAGACAATTTCCCCCTGGTATAAAAATAGAACTTTATCTTGACTTTTTTTCCTAGATTTAATTTTTCTCCAAGAACTAATTTTTGTAATAGGATACAAAGTATTACTGGGCTCTTTCTGCTTTCTGTTTCACACTTTCAGCTGGTTCCATACTGGGAGAGAACATTCAGTATTGATCTTTCGTCTCCTCAGATTGGTGTCGTCGATGTAAAGGATGTAAGAGTTTGTTACTAGTTCACACAAGCTTGAATCTGTTCCACTGTGAATGTCCATGTTCGTAGTTTCCCCTTGGCTTTTTTTTTAAACTGGGCTTTTTTTGTGTCTTAGATTATTCAAGAAGTGAAAACAGATTTTGATCCACACTGGTGTCAAAGTATCACACAAGGGATTCAAATAGTTGACAACATATATATTATTAGAATCTTTAGTGTAACCACATCCCAAAGGGCCTTTCTTGGTTTCAGACCGGGGGCTCAATTTATAGAAGTTGCAGACGTCACTTTTCACTTTCATTTTGGAGAAAGGAGAAACTGGAAATGCGGATGGTTAGGTTGGGAATTGAAGCTACATATTAACTGACATTCAAATTCACTACACATCAATCTTTAACCATAGACTGGCCCCTCTGTAGGCCTTAACCCCACAGTAATATATATGCCTGTGCTACTGAGCCATAGCTCTAGACCAATCACATCAATAAAAAGAAATAATCTATAAATCAACTCAATACTTGACTTAAAATTTGCACAATATATAAATGTTTTGTCACAATCACTTTCCTTTCCTCAATGATCACTGAAGTTAAGTGTACCGGAGGTTTTTCCTATAAAGTGTGCAAAAGTCAAACTGATCACATTGGTGACACTTGTATAATTTTGTGCGATCGACACCATGGAAATGCGAGAATTAGGAGGGTTTGTGTTCAAGGATCAAAAAGGTTTCCTGGCCCTTAAACTCCTGGACAAAATATTTACAATCTTGGCAATATTCCTTAGAAGAAAGGCAAAAAGTATACAAACCTGTTCAATAAGGAAGTCAAGTGACAAGTCTACATCGAAAATAACATCAAGGCTTTTTACATATTTATCAGAAGCCAATTTAATGCAATCTAGATAAAATAAGTAAATAAGCAGTTCACTTTTTGAAGACCTCAGTCCAAACACGATAAGTTCTGGTCAGTCTGAATTTAAAAGCTGAAAATGTAAAGTCTATAAGGTTTTAATATCTTTGAGAGATGTCTATATCTATCCAACATGTTAGATTTTCCAGGGTTTAAGGGCAAATATACCACATCATTGTTGGTGTAAGAGTGGAAATGAATTGCAAGTTGTCCGATAATTCTACAAGTTGGTAAGACAGTAAAAAGAATTGTACCTAGCACCCATCCCTGTGGTAATGCAGGAATAAGATCTAACAGGAAATGGAAAGACACAATTCTATTATCTGAGGCCATGAAAAAACCTATTTCCTCAGTGCTGTTTTAGAGTAGAAGTCATCTCTAAGAGTAGACTGAAATTCTTCAAAAAGGTCATTATGGTTTAAGTGGTCATACACCTGATTAGCAACAATTTTCTCAAGAATTTTAGATTAGTAATGACGATTAGATGGTAAATGGTACATGTACTTATATAGCGCCTTTATTCAAGTTAGGAGACTTGACCAAAGCACTTTACACTACATTCATTCACCCATTCACACACATACTGATTGTGGCAAGCTACATTGTAGCCACAATGGGGCTCACTGCCGTACACTGGCGCCACCGGGCCCTCTGACCACCATCAGTAGATAATGCAGGTGAAGTGTCTTGCCCAACGACACTGAAAGTCGTAGTCGGGGCTTGAACCGTCAACCCTTCGATTTCAGGGCAAACTCCTACATCCAACGCCACTGTCTCCTCGATGTAGGTTAACTGTCAATTGCCTGATTTAGGGCATGCAAAGTTGGTCCTTCTGGGCCATTTTAGTTGTTTAATGCATATGCACAGCTGATTTCCACCCTGACTTGGCCAGCTCATAGAGACAAACAGTCCAAGACAGTTCCTTCTCCTTAAATTGTGTTTAATAGAGGAACAGTAATTGTTTTGGTTAAAATGCTGCAGCAGCACTTATTACATACCCCATCAGCCATGCAGTAACACATGTATGTTGATGACATTAGAAAAAGGACTTGTACACCGCTTGTACCAAGCTTTACAAAAACCTAATGTGCTTATGATTCAATGAATCGACCGCGATTGGATACTCTGTAGCGGTTACAAAAAAAAAGGTAACAAATAAGAAAACAGGGAAATGAAAAAAAACTTGTCTAGATAAAAAATAAATTGGATAAATAAATACGGTGACTCTAAGTTAATCAACATATTTTTTTTCTTAATCAGTTAAACCAAGAAAGCTGGATTAATATACTGGTAATGTTTGTAATTTTGGCAGGCTGACAGCGTATGGATGGAGATGGATGATCAGGATGACATGCCCACAGCTGATGAATTGGAACAGTGGATTGAGGACGTTCTGTCAGGAAAAATTGATCCCGATGATGATGACGATGAAGATGAGGATGACGATGATGAAGATGACGACGATGATGACGACGAAGATGATGATGACGGTGATGAGGACGATGATGACAACGATGATGACGACGATGATGACGGTGTTGACGACGATGATGACGACGATGAAGATGAAGACGGCGATGAAGATGACGAAGATGATGAAGATGATGAGGAATAACTGTCCATCTTTTCAGTCATTTTGCCATTTATGTAGAAAATCCAACATATTTTTTCAATATGCCAAAACATTTTACTACAAAAAGACTTTTTGTTTACTGCATATCTTTCCATGCTGGGCTGTTGCACTGACATGAAACACTGTCAGTTCGAATGGTTTCAGTAAAACAAGAGGTTTCTCTCACACAAGACTAGAAGGGGTCCTGTTTAAAATAACGATTGTATATGAACTTCATAACTCAGACCTAATAAATATCAATACATGTAAAAATGGACAGAAACCTTAAGGGCTTCGATTTAACAACACAGTATTCCAATCATATAATTATCTTATTTTTTCTCTTACCTTGTTTTAATGTTATTGAGAACAAACTTGTCGCCAGACAGTCTTAAAAAAGTCATTAAATCAATTAGAACATTTGCTACTTTTCACCTTTAGTTTAAAAAGTTGATGTTATTGCACTACAGAGTAATCAAATTTGGTCAATCAGAGGAAACCTTATATGTGTGAGAGTTTGTGAGTGTGAGTTATTTGATTCAATTCCAATAAGTTCTATTTAAAAACACTCCGAGAGGATATTAGGTGTAGTTGTTACTTCTATTAAAGTGAAGGCACTTTGTTGTTGTACGGCACTCTGTTTAAGGGGATGCTGGTGGTTGGCATAATGGTCTTTATTATGGGATTTTTTTTAAGCCTCTAGATGAGTCCCTATCACAGAACCAGCAAGCTATACCTATATATCTATTTTGGGCTGCACTGAAGGATCTAAGCTGCCCTCAGCTCAGCAGTATGCTCACTCTTTCCCTTCTTGTAGCCGGCTTTACCGCGTCTTCAGTAAAATATATTGTCCAGGTGAACAGAGAGGTATTTTAACTCATTCCCTATCTCTACTTCTTCTCACATGATTAACATTTAAAAGTCAAACCCTTTTTGAATTAGATCATATGCAACAACCTCCCTTAAGACTTGGGATAAGTCACAAGATAAAATTATTAAAAGCAAATTCAAGCCTTTGGTTTTTAAATTAGAAAGTTGTACAAAATTGAAAATACACAAGGAGCCTTTTATTTATGAGCTTTATGTGAGTTTGGAAATAAATACTTTTATGTTTTACACATCCTCTTTTGAAACTTGGTGTTTGGTGATTACATTTTACTGTTCTATTCAATTTAATTTATATCAAATAAATCTGATCTGTCAAACATTTATATTAAGCAATCACAGACTGATATGTCTGTCTGTCTCTCAGTCTAAAGCTGTCTAGTTTAACGTTTAGATAAAAAGTTGCTTCTTCCCTGCAAAAGCACTGAAAAATTAAACAGACTGTTGTGACTTTGTTTTATCTATAGTTGAATATTAACCAGGTGACATAGAATTTCACAGAAAGAGCAAACAGCATGAAGTCAGAGTTCTGGAGACACCATAAGGGAAGCAGGATGATTTCCAGAGTGTGGTTGTTATTGTGGTTCTGTGGTTTAACTTTGGACCACGGTATGTTCCCTGAAACACAAGTGACCACTGTGTCATGATGTATTTAAGAGATCTGAGCCACATACAGAAAACCACTCAGAGAAAACTAGAGAAAAGTTTAACAGGTTTATTCAGGAGTTCAAAGGGTTGGATTCGGGGAAACTCAGAGAGCTGGTGAACCGGAACTGGAAGTGAGAAGGGAAGTTCACAGAGGTTAGTTCAGGGTCCATGGGAACTTTGAACGACGTCTTGCAAACACAGAGATAAATGGGACTCACGATTGCGGAGAATGGTTTCTTTCCTGAATCCAGTCAGTGTGGGTTTTTCCAGAGATTGAGGGGCTCGTTGGAGGAAGGACAGGTTTTTTGGTGTGGTTGGTTCCTGAGGGGCAATGGAGCAGACTGCCACTTAGATCTCCTGGAGAACTTGAACGGGACGTGTGGAGATGAATCCCCTGCTCAGTGTGAAGCACAAACAATCCTTCCAGAGGGAGAAGGCCAAACATCCAGTTTGCAGAATGACTTCCTGCCGAAAGGAAAAAGACAAAGTCACGTTAGACTCAGAGAGACAAAAACTCAGTTAGACTCGGCTAAACTCAGCTTGGCTAGAGTACCCAAAACTGGCAAACACTCTGGCATCGAAGTAGTGGCAGTCCACCGCTTAAGAAGTCCTCAGTATCGAGCTACCAACCAGCCGCAGGTGTGTGGGAGGACCAATGAGAACAGGGCGCCACCTGGTGGTGGAGGGGAAAAAACACAAAAGCACAACCCACACAGACTGGATTCCTAACACGCTGAAACAGAGTCATGCTTTCCTAATATGTGCAAATTCCTCAAAGAGTTTGGGACAATGAAAGAGAAACAAGAAACTATGGAAACAAGCATAAATGAGAAGCAAGAAGCTCTGGAAACAAGGCTGAAGGAGACTGAAAAACTGGTTCTGGAACTGAAGAAGAAAGGTAAAGCTCTTTCTGAATTTATTGACAATGTATTTTTGAACAGATGCAGTTCAGCTTTTTTTCGTATCTATTTAGAAGCACAAAAGGTTGTATTTAGTGCCGCAGCAGGGGGAAGTGTAGCTATTGGGCCTTTTACTACAGATTCAACCATAATCTACAGAACAGTGATAACAAATATGGGCAATGTTTACAATCAGCACACAGGTGAGTTAACTTATATTTGTAATGACATATTGGTAAGGCACATATGTGACACTGATTGGCAGAGAGGAGCAGCGATGTGGACTGGTGTTTAGTATAGCCCAATTCCAAACTGGCCCCTAAGCACTAACCCTAAGCACTGACCCTCTGTTTGCGCAGTACCGCAGAGTTTCCGCAAGATTAGGGGCAGTACAGAGCACATAGTGACCATTCAGCCCTTATACAGCATCACCAGTGCACACTTGCTGGAATTGGCCTTTGGGTGTGAGGGTGGTCTAATGTCAAGGCGCCTTCCACAGCTGCGAGTGTTTCTTCTTTGGGAGTGACCCTCGATACTGAAGGGATAGCACTTAGGGGATGGTTTGGGATTGGGCCTTTATGATGAACACAGATTGAGATGATAGATGATGGGGTAGAGTCCAGAGGCAGATATAGGGGGGAGGCAAGAGCGCAAGAAGCATAATCAGGTTAATCAATGCAAACTTATTCAAGGTAATCCATCACCTGCTTTGCAAATATCATGGTCTCTATTTCTGAAGCACTAAATACAATCAGCTGGTACCTTGCAATCATAGTGGGGGTCTCGCCTACCACTAGAGAGCAGAGCCAATTATATTCTGCGAAAGTTTCAGGCCCTCATTCAAACACAGACATACCCTGTCGTGCTCGGATCAAGAGCTTTAGCAGGGGAATGCTGAGGCGCTCAAGTTATAGGGATAAAGGAGGAGTTTTACAAGACTAACCCTTTCCACGTAAAAAAAACACACATGCACAACCCTGTACTCACTCTCGAGAGGGAAAGGGTATTAAATTTGTGCAGACCATGCAGGAGCCCATTTCTCCTAGTGCCCACTCTATATAAAAGTTGCTGTTCGGATCCCTCATACCAGCTTCATTTCCAAAAGATATGCAGTTTCTCCACTATGTCACCACCAGTAAGTAAAAATGGGGACGAGCACATAGGATAGCCTTACATAAAAATATCACCAGAATGATTCACAATTAGGATTTTGATGATCCACCCAGAAAAAGAACATCCTCACCATACCTTTAAGTATATGAAAAAATGTAATTTTTATCATGTGAAATATTGTTCATGAAGATTATAATTGTAATACAATCTTTTCAACTATAATATTCCTCTCAAAGTTGAATATAATAATTGTTTATATAATGATATAAAGTTTTTATCCACAATGCTTTCCAGCACAGTGATAATAATGTAACAGTTTAACAGACTGGCATCTAAAAGGTGGAACCAATATCTACTAAACTTTGCTGTTCTTCCAGGTATTTTTGCTGCGTCTGTTGCAGGTACATATTACTCCACCTTCTTTTATCATGCCGGAGGATCACAAGTTTTAAGTCTAGCCCTTATGAAGAACAATGAGGGTATTGTGACTGCCTACGACCATAAGACATATCATGATGGGGTTGATAATGGAGGAAATGCAGCATTTCTGCAACTGCAGCAAGGAGACCATGTCTATATGCGGTTGGGTGCTAATACTCATGTCTGGTCGGACAGCCATATCACTACATTCAGTGGGATTCTTCTGCATTCACCCTGAAATGAAGAATTCAGGAGTTTTTTTTGTTTGTTTTTATCAATTGACCAACATGTAAATAAAATTGCATTACCATTAATATTTCTGGTCCTTTTATGCTGTGTGTGGACACATTTAATATAACTGAGATTAAAAACCTATCAATAATAAAAAAAGACCTTAAAAAGTTTTAAAATAAAAAATCTTTAAGTTGTTTCACCTGTTTGATTGGTTTTCAGTCATATTCCTGATAATTTGAAAACATATTGGACAAAAACCTGAGGAATGTATGTACTGGAGAATGGGGATGGCTGAATCTGTTTTTTTTTTTTTAACCAGATCTAATGATACTGGCATGCTCAATAAGAACCTCCCCCTCCTCAGCAGAACATAGGACAAGATCATTTTCTACATTTATCAGTTAAAAAAATTGGTTTTAGGTGTGGAAGTATTTTAATAATATGATGTATTTTGTGATACTGTCATGAAAATTTGTATGAAAGACTTAAAAATTCCTTTTTCGGGGAAAGGGTGACTACAGGGTTTAATATACAACTATACGACAATAATAGAAAAGGTAATTTATAAGAATAACTTTCAACATTCACCACAAAAAAAGAAAAATAAATAAAAAATACCACAGATATAAACTTGTCAAATATTTGTTTCAATTTGTTGCTCTGCGGCAAACCTCTCAGATTGGTGAAAAAAGAAAGTCACATGGTCCATTGCACTGCGCAGTGAACAGGTGCATCTTAAGCTGTGTGAAGCTCTGGAAGCCAGACTGATAAATGATTTGGGCCAACACATATTCTTCTTGTTGGTTTATTTCTTAAAGGATCTGTAGCGCTCTTTGATGCACTTAATAAGCGCATTTGCAGATCTTTTTTTAAAGGACACACAAGTTTTATTTAACATTTATTATTCATGCAAATGCACCTCTTAAATGTATAAATGTTCTTTTACAAGTCTGATGTCAGGGATAGAATAAATAAAAAATCCAGAGTAGTTGATCTGCAGCAGGTAGAAGTGCTTAGAAGAGCCAAAATAAAAATAAAATAAATATATTACCTATTCATTATAAATACATATATATATAATGGATATCCAACTTTTTTTCATTTAGTCCACCAGAAACACTTCTCAATTGAGAGCAAGGAGGTTTTTTAAGCTGCACTTTCAACAAGAATGTCTGATCACAACATTATTGGTACAACTTCAAAGGTCTCAATAAGACAATGTGAAAAGAGCCCAGACACATCCCCAAAGCTTCATCCTATGAGCCGTGAGGAACCCCAGACTTTAGGCCTGCAGTTCCATTGATTTCATAATTGCATTTAGATATGCAATAACTCCAAATGAATTCATAATTGATCGCCAGAGGTGTTTAGACACAATGCTAAAACAAAACTGTCCCCTAAAAACCCTTGAAAAGATATTATAACTGGTTAACATCTGGCTTCTTGCAAGATGGGGAAGTAGCTTTTGAAAAGATATGGAGAGTTGCGCTTCTTGTTGAGGTTCCGCCTTCCCAAACCATTTAGTGAGTAGGGTGAATGGACCATTCATTCCTTAAATAGCGAGTTTGCATAGGAGCAGACTCACGGGACTTTGCCAGTGGGTGTAACAGCGGAATAATGGCAGATAAAACATTCACATTCAATTGTAAGTTCAGATAATTTGCTGAATTTTCGAAACACTGACAGAAAATCACAAGTTAGGAAAAAGAAAATGAATAGATCATTAACTCCAAAAGGGAAAGGAAATTGTTTTATTTGACTATGTAAAAGTATAAATAAGAAAGGAGCATATGCTTGATGTCATGTGAATCTGTGCCTCAGAGCTACAGCCTTGCACATGGGGCCTCACTGTGTTTTCTTAGAAACAACTGTTTTCTTTTTTCCATATGAGAGAAGAGGCCATCCCATCTCATAAGGGTTCTACTGCATATATGGATAATTATTGTAATTGAGTTGTTCAATATAATTTGTTTCTACTGTAATTCTTATTCACAAAATAACATTAATATTGATTTGTATTACTGTAAGTTTACCAGCCTGTGTGAGGTAAATTCTAGATCTCGCTATATCCACTGTGGGGGTCCCGACAGTGGATATAGCGACAGTGGGGTTCAGTTAAATTCAGTTCATTTATATAACACCAATTTAAAACAGTCATTGACTTGAAGGCAATCCCTCACACCAAGAAAGCTTGTAGCAACAGTGGAGAGGAAAACTTCCTTTTAACAAGAAGAAACCTCCTGCAGAGGCTCGGTGTGAGTGGCCATCTACTAAGGTCGACTGGGATTCAAGGAGACAGAAGCAGATACAAAAGGGTAGAGTCAACCAGCTTCACTGGCGGCACCATCCAAGGAAACATAGAGCCAGGCAGACAAGCTCCAAGCCAGCTCCCATGTCAGAGGAAGAAGAAAGAACAAGCAGTCACAGTCAGAAACACAGGAATAAACTACAAAAATTGACAAACTCCAACATCTATAAACAAACATGTTATCAGAGGCACAGCTGATATTTCTCAACAGGATGGGGTAATGGCCAAACAGGACAGAACAGATGAAGCTACTATGATAAGCAGAGAGAGCATAAGGTTGGAGATTGAACTAACAAATACTGCAGAATGGGAGAATGGAGATAGAATGAAGCAGTTGATGAAAATGGGTCCCTATGTCCTCCAGCAGTCTAAGCCTAAAGCAGCATAACTATAGAAGAAGCTAAGGTTAACCTGAGCCACTCTAACTACAAGCTTTATCAAAAAGGAAAGTTTTAAGCCTACCCTTCAAAGTAGACAGGGTGTCTGCCTCATGGACTAAAACTGTTAGTTGGTTCCACAGGAGAGAAGCGTGATAACTAAAATATATCCCTCCTATTCCACTTTTAGAAATTCTAGGAACCACTTGTAAAAATGCACTTGTAAAAGATATGATCTCTGTTTTTAAGTTTCATCAGAACTGTGGCTGCAGCATTTTGGATTACCTAAAGGCTTTTAGTTTGTAGACTGACTGTAAAGAAATACAATAGTTACCCTTGAAGTAACAAATGCATAGACTAGATTCAGCATCACCCCTAGCCAGGATACTTCTAATTTTTGCAATTATGCGCAGATGAAAGAAGGAAATTCTAGAAACATCTTTGATATGGGATTTAAATGACAAGTCCTGATCAAACACAACACCAACATTTTTTACTTTATTATCTGAGATCAATTTAATCCCATCTGGATAAACTAATTAATTATCTTTTTTTTTTTTTTAAGACTCTGGTCCAAAGATAATAACCTCTGTTTTGTCTGCATCAGAAGCAGAAAGTTAAGAGTAATCCAGGTTTTTACGTCTTCAAGACATGCCTATGGTCTATGTCATGGGTGAATTCATCTGGACTTATAGACAAATTTAGTATCATCACCACAGTGCTTTCAATTCAGTTCAGTATAGTTTATTTATATAGTGCCAATTCACAAAACTTGTCATCTCAAGGTACTTTACTGTTCAACCAGATCATACAGTCAGATTGATTCAAAGTTTTCTATCTAAGGGAAACCAGTTGATTGCATCGACTCATTGACTCAAATGCAATCCCTTACACTAAGCATGCTTGTAAGGACAGTGGAGAGGAAAAACTCCCTTTTAACAGGAAGAAACGTCCAGCAGAACCAGGCTCAGGGTGAACAGCCATCTGCCAAGCCTGACTAGGGTTCAATAAGACAGAAGCAGAGATACAAAAAGCAGCTGTAAAAGGCGGCCCCGCCCTGGAAACACACCGCCAGGCAGACAAGCTCAGAGCCAGCTCCCATGTCAGAGGATGAAGAGAACACATCCAGCCAGTCACGGTCAGAGAAACAGGACCACACTGGAAAACAGGCCGATCTCCAGCATCTATAAACAAGGGTGGTTGATGGCAGCAGCACAGCTGATATTTCTCTCCAGGATGGTGTCACAGCCAAAAAGGAACAGACGAGAAAAAGCTACTATGAGAAAAAGCAGAGAGAGCAGAACATTAGAGATCAAACTAATAGATTCTGCAGTGTGGTAGAATAGAGATAGAATGAAGCAGAATGATTATATGGGGGTCCCTATGTCCACCAGAATTCTAAGCCTATAGCAGCATAGTTATAGAGATAGCTCAGGATAACTTGAGCCACTCTAACTATAAGCTTTATCAAAAAGGAAAGTTTTAAGCCTAGTCTTGAAAGTAGACAGGTTGTCCTTCTCATTGACTAAAACTGGTAGTTGGTTCCATAGGAGAGGAGCCTGATAACTAAAAAGTTTTCCATTCTATTTTTAGAAATTCTAGGAACCACTAGTAAACCTGCAGATTGAGAGCAAAGTGCTCTTTTAGGAACATAAGAAACAATCATATCTCTGATATAAGAAGGAGCTTGGCCATTTAAGGATTTATATGTCAGGAGGATTTTAAATTCTATTCTGGATTTAACAGGAAGCCAATGAAGAGAAGCCAGGATAGGAGAGATATGGACTGTCTTTTTAATTTTCATCAGAACTCTGGCTGCAGCATTTTGCATCAGCTGAAGGCTTTTAACTACAGTTTTTGGATTTTCTGATAGTAAAGAATTACAATAGCGCAGCCTTGAAGTAACAAATGCATGGACTAGTTTCTCAGCAGGACCCCTGGACAGGATACTTCTAATTCTTGCAATGTTCCGCACATAAAAGAAGGAAATTCTAGAAACATCTTTGATATGGGATTTAAATGATAGGTCCTGACCAAAATCTGAGGCCTGATCTGGGGCCATGAAAATATCATTAGCAACCTTCACCAGAGCGGTTTCAGTGCTACGATGAGCTCTCAAGCCAGACTGAAACTCTTCAAAAAGTTAATTATGGTGTAAGTGATCGCATGCTTGTTTGGGAACTACTTTCTCAAGATATTTAGATAAGAAAGGAAGATTGGATATAGGTCTATATTTGACCAAGTCATCTGGGTCAAGAGACGGTTTCTTAAGCAGAGGTTTAATGAACCTTAAAAGTCTTTGGTACATATACCTGTAACAAGGCACTGGATTGTTCACCCACTAATAGGGAACGTGAGCTGGGTTTAGACCGTGAGACAGGTTAGTTTTACCCTACTGATAATGTGTTGTTGCAATAGTAATCCTGCTCTTTCAACATCCATCCAGTGGACCATGCTCAACTGGTCAGACCAGGGATTAAATTGTCTGACTCTTTTTACTATCAATGTGCTCCTTGTGCATTACATTACAAGCAAGCGTGGAGTTTCTTTAAATTGCTATACAATGAGATACTCATCTTTATCCAAGGATAGACCTCACCTCTTCACTGCACTACAGAAATAATGGCCTCATTTCATAGCCGTCTCACTGCTGTCGAGTCGGTGGCAGGTGATAGCTTTGAGCGGCTAACAGCAGCCAAATCCACCATCCAAACATTCCAGAGCCAGACCAAGTCATTACTGGACCAATGCAATTATTAAGGCTTAATAATCACTCACAAAGATCTACTCCATATATTGAATATTCCTGAGAGGTGTGAAGATGACAAAGAACAAATAAAGTTCATGTTGGATGATCTGATGTAGGTAATGGGCCCCAATGTTTTTTCCACACTGCCTGAGCTGGAGAGAGCCCACTGTACCCCAACCTCCAGAGCCTGCCAGAGATCATCCTCCGCACATTCCTGGTCTGCTTCTCCAGATTCCAGCAGACTGGAGGATTCGCTGCACTGGGCCAGGAACCATTAGTACAACTACAAAGGTGCCACTATAGGAGTCTATTAAGATATTAGCACAGCACTCGATAAAAAGAGAGTTGTGTTTAATAGCGTCAAACAAGCCTTATATCAGAAGAACGTCAGATTCCACCTTCTCTACCCGGCCCGGCTGCTAGTGACGTGCAGAGACAACATCGTCACCTTCGACTCTACTGATGAAGGCCAGAAGTTTTAGAGGTTTGGTTTTGTAGAATAGGACTATGTGTCACCTTTGGGATTGAATAGCCTGACGATATTTAATCACCTGAACCTAATGGTGTATAAGTTTCCGGTATGCAGTGTCAACCTGTGGTCTACGGAGCTGAGGTATGGTCACTCAGTGATGTTATTGAAGGACTAATCAGTATTAAGCTGAGTTATATCCCAAAATGTTTCCTTTATACAAACCACTGCTTTTGAATTTCAACACTGAGGTTATATATGTTTTTAAATGTGTGCCTACTTGGTTGACTTGGTGCTGTTCAGCCTTCTGAACCAGGCTAACTGTGAGTGGCAACCTGCAGAGGCCGAATTGGGTTCAAGGAGACAGAAGCAGAAATAGGAAAAGAAGCAGAGATACAAAAGGTAGCTATCAACCAGCTCCACAGGCGGCCTAGTCCAGGAAACACACAGCCAAGTAGACAAGCTCTGTGCCAGCTCCCATGTCAGAGGATGAAAGAGAGCACATAGTGACAGTCAGAGAGACAGGAACACACTGAAAAACAGGCCAAGCTCTAACTTCTTTAAACAGAATGTTGATGACAGCAGCAAAATTAGAATTATAATAAACAAAATCCTCTACTAATCAAACAATACGTAGAAACTAACAACAAAGGAAAAAGATACATTCTCATTGACTATTAGAGATGTACATTTTCCACATGATTCAACTGTAGTAGCAGGCTTCTCATTCCTCCTTTTTCCTAAGTGCAATTTGCCCACAAACTGTAAAGAGACAGAGACTGGATCCAAATAAACCCAGACAAGTTAGTGACGTTTTTGAAGATTTATTGAGAGGGTTAATCAGAAAGCGGGGCTGGATCTGTGTGGGCAACTGGCTGCAGGAAGACAGGCGGGCAGATTGAGGGAGGTTTACCAGTTTTATCCAGGACGGAGAGGCAGGCAGTCAGGCGGAGCTTTTCAGAGTCAGAGATCCAGAGAGAGGGAAGCAGGCAGGCAGAATCAAACAGGGTTCGGGCAGGCTCGGAGTCAGGGGGCAGATCGGGTTGGAAACAGATAGGCGGTCAGGTTCTTCCTTTGATGCTGGATTATTCGTAGCTGGTTGGCTTGAGATAATCTGGCACCGAGGACAGATCTGATGGGGTTTTTAAAGTGCTGGAAGCAGGTGACTCCAGTCAGAGCTGATTGCAGATGAGTGGAGCAGAGCAGGTGCATGGACTCAGTGATCAGGCCAGAATCAGTGCAGAAACCATTAGACAAACCTTACAGAAAACTTCTGCCCAGCCGCTCCACAGCATCATCAAATAATACTTGGTTTGGGGTATATTTGGGTTTATTTCTTGCTGGTTCCTATTTTCTGTTTAGCTGATCTTGGTGGAGCTCAAGTTTACATGGTGAGTCTTGGCATGTAGTAAAACTGCTTCCAGATCAGCAAGACCACCACCTGCTCCAAGAGCTGGGACTAGATGATCTCTTCTAGCAGTGCTTCTATCTGAACAGGACCTAGTATCAGGATGGTAAAGTGCCTTGAATGTCACCATGAGAATTTTATAGTTAATACGAAACTGTACAGGGAGCAAGTGGAGCTGTCGGAGGACCGGAGTGATGTGGTGGATAGAGAGAGTTCTTGTTACTATGCGAGCAGCTGAGTTCTGGACCAGTTGTAGTATGTTGAGGGATTTCTGAGGAAGTCCAAAGAGGAGGGCGTTGCAGTAATCCAATCGGGAGGTGACAAGGCTGTATACAAGTATGGCAGTAGTGTATGGGGTAAGGGAGGGACGAGGCAGGTGGGAAACTGTCAGTTTTGGAAAGAGCTGATTTGGTGGAGAGAACCTCAGTTTTACTACTGTTTAATTGAAGGAAGTTATTGGTGAACCAGGCTTTTATTTCACAGATGAAATCTGTGAGGGAGGTGGGAGGAAGAGAGGATGATAGTTGCGTGGTGAGGGAGACCTGGGTGTAATCGGCATAGCAATGGAAGTGGATGTTAAATTTGCAAAAGATATTGCCAAGGGGAAGGATGTAGATGATGAAGAGCAGGAGCCCCAGGACAGGGCCCTGGGGCACACCTGAGGTAATTTGAGGGTCTTCAGTTGAATGTATTGAGTGGGATCAGAAAAGTAGGAAATAAACCAGTCCAACGGAGTGTTAGTGATGCCAATGGAAGAAAACCTACTGAGGAGGGGGGTGTGACACATGGTGTCAAAGGCTGCACTCAGGTCTAGGAGGAAGAGGATGGTGAGTAGTCTAGAATCCGATGCCATACACACTCTAATTTAATTAAAAGCAATGACAGATTGATCTGTCTTTCTGTCAGTCTTTAGTTCTCTAATTTCATGTTGATATAAAAAATTTTTTTTTCCCTGCAAAAGCGCTGAAAAAGTAAACAGACCATTTTGACTTTGTTTTATCTGTAGTTGAATATTAACCAAGGTACAGAATTTCACAAAAAGAGCAAACAGCACATCCGGTCAGTTAGAGTTCTGAAGTCACCTTAAGGCAAGCAGGATGATTTCCAGAGTGTGGTTGTTATTGTGGTTCTGTGGTTTAACTTTGGCTTTGGCTTTGGTTTCCTGAAACAGAAGTGACCGCTGAAACAGAGTCATGCTTTCCTAATATGTGCAAGTTCCTCAAAGAGTTTCGGGCAATAAAAGAGAAACAAAAAACTATAGAAACAAGCATGAACGAGAATCAGGAGGCTCTTGAAACAAAGCTGAAGGAGACTGAAAAACTGGTTCTGGAGCTAAAGAAGAAAGGTAAAGCTCTTTCTGAATTTATTGGCAATGTGTTTTTGAACAGATGCAGTTCACTTTTTTTTTCATATCTATTTAGAAGCACAAAAGGTCGTATTCAGTGCCCCAGCAGGGGGAAGTTGGTCTATTGGGCCTTTTACCACAGATACAACCATAATCTACAGAACAAATGTGGGCAATGCTTACAATCAGCACACAGGTGAGTCATTTTATATTTGCAAGGATGTATCGGTAAGGCTGTCAAGCTACTTGCAATTTAATGCAGTGCATTATTTCAGCTAGCTTAATCAAAGCAACTAAGTGCACTCTCTCTGCAGCGGGGAGAGCCTTTTACTGCAAAACTACCAGCAGGGAGCTGAGATACACATATGTGGCACTGCTTGGCTGAAAGAAGCAACAATGTGGACGAGTGTTCAACATGGCCCAATCCCAAACCAGCCCCTAAACGCCAACCCTAAGCACTAACCATCTGTTTGCGCATTTCCGCGGAGTATCCGCCACATTAGGAGACGTCCACACCACATAGTTACCGTTCAGCCTTAAATAGTATTATCAGTGTAGATTCGCTGCTATTTCCAGTGGGTGTAAGGGCAGACTCCACAGCTGCCAGTGTGACTAAATTGGGAATGACTCTGGATACTTAAGGGGTAGTGCTTAGGGGATGGTTTGGGATTGGGCCAACGTGTCGAGAACAGATTGAGACGATAGATGATGGGGCAGAGTCCATGGGCAAATCTAGGGGGGAGGCTGAGAGGGCCAGAAGCATACACAGGTTAATCATTGCAAATGTATTAAAGGCAATTCAATATTCATTATCTGTTTTGGAAATATTGTCTCTATTTGCTAAGCACTATTCACAATCAGGTCTTGCCTTGTGGTCATATCAGTGGTCTCACCAACCACTAGAGAGCGATGGCCTAGTGGTTAAAGTGCAGTGACAACTATATTCAGAGAAACATTCAGGGCCCTGATCAAACCCACCCACTGCCCTGTTGAGTAACAGCCTTAGTAGATGAATGCTGAGGTGGCTAAGTGATTGGTTAAGTTAAAAGAAAACACAATTATTTTAATATCAAATGTTTTTGATAAAGACAAAAATTTAAATAAAACTATAACTATAATATGTATATCACAGTTGAAAATAAATGTTTAAATAACAATGATATGTAATTATACATGTTATTTACATGTTGCTTTCCACATCACATAATTATAGTGATAGTAATGTAAAAGTTTTGCAGACTGGCATCTAGAAGGTTGAACCAATATCTACTAAACTTGTTTGCTTTTCTTCCAGGTATTTTTGCTGCACCTGTTGCAGGTACATATTACTTCACCTTCTTTTATCATGCCGGAGGATCAGAAGCTGTAAGGCTAGCCCTTATGAAGAACAATGAGGTTATTGTGACTGCCTACGACCATAAGACATCTCATGATGGGGCTGATAATGGAGGAAATGCAGCATTTCTGCAACTGCAGCAAGGAGACCATGTCTATATGCGGTTAGGTTATAATACTAATGTCTGGGGGGACAGCCATATCACTACATTCAGTGGGATTCTTCTGCATTCACCCTGAAATGAAGTATACAGGAGTTTTTTTGTTTGGTTTTATCAATTGATCTACCTGTAAATAAAATTGCATTATCACATTCATATTTCTGGTCCTTTGATGCTGTATGTGGACCCACTGGAATTAACCAAGATAAAAATGTATCAAATAAAGAAAAGATCTTTAACAGTTTTTGAAAGAAAAATGTTTTAATCTGTAGTTTGATTGTTTTTAGTCATATTCCTGATAATTGAAAACATAGTAGACAAAAACCTGAGGAATGTGTACTCGAGAATGGGGACAGCTGGGTCTGTTTTTTTTTCTCAACCAGATCTAATTAAACTAGCACGCTTGATAAAACCCTCCCCATCATTGTTAGAACAGAGGAAAAGTTCAAGATCATTTTCTACATTTATTGAAAAATAAGGGTTTTCATTGTGAAAGCATTTTATTAATGTGATGTATTTTGTAATACTGTCATTGACATCTGTATGAATGATATATGCAAGTATTATGTTTATAAAGCTCCAATTGTTTATATAGCTCCAATTCACAACATATGTCATCTCAGGACACTCTAGAGAGATAATTCAACCAGATCATACAGGCAGATTGGTTCAAAGTTTTCTATCTAAGGAACACATTTACTTGAAAGCAATCCCTCTCAACAAGCACACTTAAGTGACAGTGGAGAGGAAAACTCGCTTTTAACAAGAAGGAACCTCCAACAAAAACAGAATCAGTGTGAGCTGCCATCTGCCGAGGCCGACTGTGGTTCGAGGAGACTGAAGCAGTCATAGAAAAAGAAGCAGAGTTATCAGAGGTAACTTTCAAACATCTCCACAGCTCCCCAACCAGGAAACATAACCAGGCAGATGAACTCCGAGCCAGCCCCCACATCAGAGGATGAAAAAGAGCACAACATTTTTCAGAGAATTTGTTATACTCCAACATGAAAAAAGAATGTGAAGTAGTTTATGCCTTTAACAGGTGACACAAATATACCTAGGAAAATAACATATTTTTTAATAAATAAAGTACAACAATTTTCACACTTTAAGAATTTAGACTGATGATATCAAATATGTGGAAATAAAAGCATTAGAGACAAATGATTTAATTACTCACTTCATTCACCTTCCATTCCCTCCTGCTGCTCTAATTTTCATTCATCTTATCCCCCTGTTCGCTCTGCTTTATATACTTTTCAGCCCAGGTCCAGATAATTAGTTATTCGTATGTACTCTTGTTAGTTGTTCATGTTTGTTTGCTTTTGAGTTTAGTTAGGTCCTTGTATTATGTTCTGACTCTTGGGGCCCTGTGTGTCGAGAGGGGTTAGTGTTTGTCTCATGTTTCGTGATTGTGTCCCGCCTCTTTTCCTGGTTATTACCTGTTAATACCTAAATCAAGACAAAAGTTTTTTACTGCCTGCATCTGAGCCTCTGAAAACTTAGTGGACAAATATTACTTCTGATGGAAATCTACCCGCAGAACTTCAGGCTTTTTTACTTTGTCAGAATGCTTAGCGTGACTGTTTAGCCATGTTGGCACTTCAGCTAAAGTTTGTGTTTATGTAATATATGTTTCAATTGTTGGCAGAATATGTTGCAACTCTGATTGTATGCTTGATTTAGACTAATTTTGTGGTTTAAAATGCTGGCATACAAGGAACTTTCTATGTATTTTTTAAATTTTATATATTTCAGAACGAGTCCAGAACTTATGTCCAACAACAGCCTCACTTATGCATAACGCACAGCAGTGTCTGTAGGGTGGCAGCAATGCACCCAGAGGCACCCAGCCTGCATAAAAAGATTTCTGTGATTGCGGTATTAACCTAGCTGCTACCATCCACCAAAAAAAAAAGAAGAAGAAATAAATGAAAAAAAAGTAAAAAATAAAACAAAGTTTGCATTTGCAGCAGATTCAGAGTCATGTCTAGTAGGAAGTTTGTTGGTCATGGCCATGAACACAGGCAGGATCCATCACACTCACCTTCTCGCTCACCCTATGATGGGGCTTTCCTCCTGTTAACCTCCTTTTATACCAAAATGCTACCAATATGCCATTATACAGTACCTGTAAGTTAGAAACATGTTCAGCAGTCATCTGGAACACGTCAAATACATTGATATGGGTTGGAGATACGTTGTTGATAAGTTACACATAAGTTATGTACATGTTACTCATAGGTTTTGGATAAGCTAGAAACCACCATTTATGAGTAACTTACACTCAACATATGTCATGATCAAATATGATCAAATAACTTACCTGCTACTTAGGGCCCACAAATGAGCAACGGTGGCATACATAAAACTCAAATCTTGAGCATGCTCAAAATTTCTCAACGTACTTGCTGTTTGTCTGGTCAACCTACTACTTTTGTGTGTTAGTGTGTTGTAACTTATAAAATTTCGAGAGCACTCTGTAGCAGCCATGGGTTTAGGTCAGGTATTTAATGCAATGCATTATTCTCAACTCTTAGGCATAATACTTACAAACTCAAGTTTGCAGGTTGTCGGGGCATAGCCTTTAGGTGAGCTGGGATGTCCGGAATAGGGCTGAATGAGGAGGTCTTTAGCACATCCTGTCGGCCTAATAGGACAAGAATTTTCCTGCACAATTAGCAAAAACATGCTATGGGGGCCTAATTATTAATTTTTTCATTTTCAAATCTAGCGTAAATGGGAGCTTGTAGTTGTCGTCTCCCGCATCATCTGGGTCTGGGTGGCAAAGAAATCAGTCTCAGCAGAGACTCAGAGACATCCCTCTCCCCAAATACCTCCTTCAGCTCCTTCTGGTCAAGCTGAAGCCCTCCGACCTGTCCTGGGTTGTCCTCTAGGCCTTATCTTGGTGGGACATACATCGAACAACTCCCAAGGAAGGCATCAAGGGGGCATCTGAAAAAGATATCCGAGCCACCTCAGCTGACTTCTCTCAATGTGGAGGAGAAGTGGCTCTACTCCCAAAATCGCTGGAATGACCGAGCTTCTCACCCTATCTCTAATGGAGTGCCCAACAGTGCCCAGGTATCTGGTTATATCAGCTATGACCCAGATTTCATGTCCACAGATGAGTGTAAGAATGTAGACCGACTGGTAGAATGAGAGCTTGGGACCTTTAATTGTTGTTTTTTATGTCAGAAAAGTAGAAGTTAGTTGTCCAAGAAGTTCCTCAAGAAAGGTTAAAGAAGTATTTGTTAAAATAGCTAATCAAGTAACAAATAAAGCTAGGTAGATGTGATATAATGTTAAGAATGATACGATCAGATAGAAAGTTATGTAAAAATTGATGACTGGCTCATTAGTTTTGTTCCCTCCACCTGCTTAGCTTTGCCCAGTTTTCATCTGCCTTGATCTGATCCACCTGTTCCAGCTCCTATTTATGCTGCCTGTTTTCTGGCCTTCAGTTCCAGATTATTTGAACCAAGTATGAGGAGTACCCAAGTGTACCTTGTTGTTTTTTTTTTGACTGCCTAATCCTGACCTGTTTCTGCTTTTGGTTATCTAAGTTTTGGCTTGCCCCAGTTCCAGTCTGTTTCTCCCTTCATACTGTGTTTGGGCTTCTGATTGAGATCATTCCGTTAGCAAACTTGGTTCTTTCCCCTGACCCTGGTCTGGATTATCTCATCAGTACCTCTGTGACTCTCTGATCTTCTGGTATGGACCCCTACTTCATCACCTGCTGTAGATTCAGCCTCTGGTCTCCTTTGCTCTTCAGTATCTGCTGCCATGCGCTCTACAGGCTATTCTGCCTTGCTCCTTGAACTGTCTGTCATCCAACTCATACCCAGTCCTTCCTCTGGACATGGACTGAACTTAGAACCAAGTTAGCGATTCACATGCTCGTTATTGTTCCCCATCAGATTCTAATGATCACTAACCTGGATTTCTCTACAGAGAATCCAGCCAGCTGGTCCCAGCTGATGAGCTGCTTAATCCAGAGCTACCAATTGTACTTTTTCTTTACAAACACCTGTTCTGTCTGCCTGAATCTGCCTAAATTCTGGGTCCATTATTCTGAGCCCTGAGATTTCTATCCCATAGTGAAAAATAAAAAAAGAAATATAAATGAGAAACATAATACCAAATCAATGAGATCAGTCAAAATAAACACTTTTAAAATTACCTATAATTTCAAAATCACTGTGTAAGATCAAGTCTTTACTCTATGTAATCTATCTACAACAATATGAACGATAAAGAACTTCAAGCTACAATATCACTTATAATTAATCTGATCTCCAAATAACTTAAAGGTACAATGTTGTTGTGATTTTGTAGTTAAATTCTATTCCCAGCCCGCTGGGAATTTATGTTTCTGATACTTTAAGATGTTTATTGCCCTCCCCTGTAGGGGTGGTAAAATATCTTATTTAATCAGATATTATTTCAGCTGTTATATACTGTTTATGACACACAGTCCTACTAACTGTGTGTTAGAACAATAAATGAAAGAATTATTTGAGCACTAATCATGGTCAAACAGTTATTTCTGCACATGGAATAAATTCACCACAA